TTCCTACTTTCCAGAAAAGTGCGCGTTTCTCCTGTCACAGACAAAGAAACAGAACTTACACAGACAATTCAAAAGACAATCATTTATGCGTATAACAGGGCAACCATATTCACAAATAATATGTTGTATGTCTTATATATATGCTCGAGGTGTCAAAATGTAACCGTGCAACTTTAATCAATGTTTTGTTAACCCCTTTTTTTGATAAAGCGTTGAAGCTTCGTAACTCTGCAGAACTCAAAGTCTTGCCAAATCACTCTCTCAGAAGAACTTCGAGGCTCCTCCGTAACCTGGCAACCAACCAACCAGAGGCGGCGGGGTTGAGAACGGCGCGGCCGGCGGATCCGACAAAGGAGCCGCAGCTTAGCGTTTAGCTGAGGCCGGGCTAGAGTGAGCAGAGACGGCGGGGTTGAGAACGGCAGATCTTTTATTATCTGTGTTTTTGTTCTGTCGCTGTCATTCTGTTGCACTGCGGAAGCTTCTGTCATGAAAACAAATTCCTCGTATGTGAAAACATACCTAGCAATAAAGCTCATTCTGATTCTGATTCTGATTCTGATTCTGACAGAGGCAAAACTTACGGACTGCAGCTTTAAAGCCATTTATGCATTAGTTTTCATGCATACTGATAGTGACACCTGGTGGCCGAGTTTGGTACCGCATGCTAATGTTAGCTAGCCATCTTTTTTTTCTCACTTGTGTTGCTCTCTGAGAGAAAAAAAAAAGTTTAGAAAGAAGAAAAAAGTTTAGAAGGAAGAAAAAAAGTTTTGAAGAGAGAGAAAAAAGTTTTGAATAGACAAAAATAAAAGATTTTGAAGAGAAATGTTTCGAAGAGAGAAAAAGATTTTGAAGAGAAAAAAGTTTTTGAAGAGAGAAAAAAAGTTTTGAAGAAAGAAATAAAGTTTTTGAAGAGAGAGAGAAAAAAAACGTTTCGAGGAGAGAGAGAAAGTGTTCAGACTTAGGCTCAGGAAGGATCTAAGTCACTATATTTTTATTTTCCCCCCTCGTTGATTTATTAATTTTTTTTTCACGTTGCGGTTCAGGGCTTCCGTACATATCATTGCATTTTTGTACCATTATATATTTTGGCACAATATATCATTACACCCCACCTTCATGTATAAAATGAAAATGCAATCTGTAAAAGAAGCTTTACCTTTCTGCTCTTTGGTCTGTTCTGTGTTTTTTAGCACTCCACTCTTGGCCTCTTCAATCTGTCTCTGTTTTTTCTCTGACTGTCTCTGACTTTTATTGAGTACTTGACTGAGCACTGACTCTCCTTCTCCCATTAAAAACATGCTTTTAAACTTATTATAAAGCATCGTGGATTTGTCCATCACATCCTGGCTGGCTTTGAACCTGCGGATCTGTAAAGACACAGTATAAAACTGATTCATTTTCAGTTAACATTATTTATTTATTTATTTTTATTTATTTATTTATTGTGCTTGTTGTTTTTGCTGCAGGTGGTGTACAATAATAATTTATAAACATGACAATTGTCCAATGTTGCCCAAAAAAACGTTTTAATCATACCTTTTTAAGAGTAGCTATGAGTTCACAGTGTCTCTGAAGTTGTTGAGTAGTAACATGCAATGAACTCAACTCATCCAATGCAACTAAACATTTCCTTACATCCTAATAATGGAGAGAATAAAGATTTACTTACACAACAAGAATTACATAAACAAGAAGGTTAATACATGAATTTCAGAGAGCATAATCAATATCAGTCTATGTAGGTGTCAACTAATGATATTACAGAAATGATGTTTAAAATCTATATACAAGAATGAAAAAAAAACAAATGAATTGGAGCCTGGACTTACAAGGTTATCAATCTTCAAAGATGTTTTAATATCCCCGTGCAACTTCTGCAGTCTGGACTCTGCAGAAAGTTCTTTATTTGATGAATTGAAAAAGTAAAAAAACAATGTTTCAAAAATTGTCATTACAAATAGATAATTAGGTGACTATCTAAAGACCGCATAGCACATCACTATTTATTATCTTACCCTTTCTCTTGTCTCCTTTTCTGTCATCTCGCTTTCCATCTTTTCCTATCCTGCAAAAAAAAACAACAACAAAAAAACAACAACATAACCATCTAGTTATTATTATTTCTTTTTATAAAGATCTAGTGCATGAACTCATGTTTTGCTTTGCTATTTAAAGGGACAATATGTAATAATTTTCATGTATTAATTGCTTTTTTATTGATAGTGTGTGAACAACTTGTTACAAAACTTACAAAATGAGACCTTCCCCCGACTTCCTAGGTTGTCTACGAAAGCTTGAAGACTGATTTTTATGCTATAGACTCGGAGATTGACTTGACAAAGCCAACATATTGATTTAAGCTTTTTAGGTTGGCTTGAGAAAGCCAGCCTACTGAAAAACTATTTAAACTTGTCTGAAGCTATCTAGTTACCTAAATTCAGTGGGCTTAAACAGCTTGCCCTTTTACAGCAGGTTTAGTTCACAAAAACTGAAAGTCATGACCTAAATTTGATTTTCATTTACAATAATAAATCCTACAATTCGTCATTAGTAACTTACTTTTCGTACCATCAGTCACACATGCACTCAAGCTTGGAGGATCTCACATTCTTGGCTCATTTTGAGTCAGACATGTCAACTGAATTGTTAATAAGTATGATATTATGCTTTGGAATGTAGTGAAGTAAAAGTTTCTTCAAATAAAAATACTCTGATAACCGCATAGCAATACCCTAGCAACCACCCCAAATACCCTAGCAACTGCATAGCAACACCCTATTAACCACCCAGAACACGCTAGCAACTGCATAGCAACGCTCTAGCAACCTATCTGTCTGTCTAGCTATCTATCTTTCTGACAGATTGTATGGCCTTCAAAACCTTCCAACTTCCAACTTTAAAACTACTTCAAGCTGAAAACCTATCTATCTGAATATATCTATCATCTATTTCTCAAGCCAACCTCAAAGTTTGTTCACAATTTGTTCACAGTTGAATTATAAGCTAAAAGGTAAAGTTGCTTATTATAGCGCCACCTTGTAGATTTTCACAAAATACAGTACATATTTGTTTAACCATGACGTAAGAATATTTCCGTTTTTGTAACTGTAGGCCATTCAGATTCAATGTTAGTAACGGTTGAAATTTGGCTGCTGGCAACATTTTTTTATAGTCATATTACAGGATATGTTAGGATGTCAACCAAAGATGATGCATAACAAGAGCCGTTTTAGGTAGGTGTGGCTGACTCTTAACTTTTATAAAGAATATCTCTTTGGATTTCAGACTTCATCATATGACCCCTTTAACCCTTCTTCAAATCCATTTACAGAACTGTATATACTTAACGAGTGCTGTGTGTGATACAACGATGTATGCAACCTTACCTATTAAGATATATACTGTATATATCAGATTATATATACTGCTTTTATTGTCCTCATTTGTAAGTCGCTTTGGATAAAAGCGTCTGCTAAATGACTAAATAAATAAATAAAATATATGAATGCATGGGTCAATGATCAGCATTACCCATTGATGTTTGGTCTTCATATTTTCAGCACAATGTGTAGGTTAATCTGTAATTGGTTTGGAAAGTGAATTATTCATAGGAAAAACCTTAAAGACATTGTTCTAAACATAGACTTTAAGCTATGCAAATAAACCTCATGCCAGAGAGGGGCCATACCATGGCCACCTCCAGCATGCTATCTCTAGGACTTACAGTCCTTTTACGTTTACAGCCAATCAAAACGCTGGATCTGAAAGGCGCCAACTAAGCTGCTAAGCTAAGTTGTTCTAAGGAGAAACAAGGAAGTTCTGCAAGAGTGGATTTGGGGAGTTTGGAAACAGCAACAACGACCACAAGCTTATTGCCCCCCATCTTCTGCAACAACTTCAGAACCTTCTCTTCAGCGATCCTCCATTTGCAAGTTCCAAACTGCTCGGATCTTCTCCAACAACTTCAGAATCGTCTTGTCAGCGATCCTCTTCCTGCATGTTTTAAGTGTCCGGATCTTCTGTACAGACATCAGAACCTTCACCTTCAAGGCTCCTCTGTTTGTGTGTTTCCAGAAAAAGGAGCTTCTCTGTGCTCATCGTTCACCAGTGCTTTGTGTTCAAGACTGTGAAATGGGTCTAACTCCTTTCTTCCCACTGCAGTGTGGCCCAGGTCAACAAGTGGAAGACGTCTCTGCCCAGACGCGGAATGCAAATATCACTCTTTCCAAACCTCTTTCTAGAGACCGTTGGCATTAGTATATATTGTCAGTTTATGATTATCTAATCTGCATTAGATTTTATATAGCTGATGTCAGTTAATAACAAATAATCTCTTCTTTCAATCTTTTGCATTTTATCCATTCATTGTACCCATTTAGTAGTTGTTAGTTACTCTTATCTATTCTTTTGTTAATAAAACCCCTTTTATTACACTTGTGTCTTCCTTGTGTTGATAATACAGTAAGAGGCTCTACAAGTTAACGGTATCTCTCAAATCCTTCAGATTGGTCAGACTACAACTTCCTCCAATTTATGTAATTCTTATTTATTCAACAAACTTCCATGATTTTTCTTTACTGTCAAGGTGAAATTCCTGGCTGGTGCCCTGTAAAATAGTATGACCAAAACTAAATATTAAACATAATAATCAAGCGTAGCGTTAGTTCTGGCAGGTCACGTTAGTCAAGCTCGCATCAGCTGACTCTCAGCTGATCCCCATCTACCTATGGGAATACAACACCTACCTAAGCATTCATATATAAGGTCCCTCAGTATTATCAGCAGTTTTCGCATTCGCATTTTTAAGAAACCACAACTAGATCCTAGTGAACTGGCAAATTACAGACCCATCTCAAATCTTCCTTTTATGTCTAAAATTTTAGAAAAAGTTGTGTCTGCTCAACTGTGCTCCTTCCTGCAAAAAAATGATCTCTATGAAGAATTTCAGTCAGGTTTCAGGCCCCACCATAGCACAGAAACTGCACTTGTTAAAATTACAAATGACTTGCTTCTTGCGTCAGACCAAGGCTGCATCTCATTGCTAGTTTTACTTGATCTTAGTGCTGCGTTCGACACTATAGATCATCACATACTCATAGATCGATTACAAAACTACAGGTATTCAAGGGCAGGCTTTAAAATGGTTTAGATCCTACCTGTCTGATCGCTACCACTTTGTTCATTTAAATGGGGAGTCATCTCAATTATCACCAGTAAAATATGGAGTGCCACAAGGATCTGTCCTAGGTCCTCTGCTATTTTCGATATACATGTTGCCCCTTGGTAATATTATTAGAAAATACGGGATTAGCTTCCACTGTTATGCAGATGATACTCAACTATATATCTCAACAAGACCAGATGAAACTTCTAAATAATATAAGCTAACAGAATGTGTTAAAAATGTAAAAGATTGGATGACCAATAATTTTCTCCTATTAAACTCGGATAAGACAGAGATATTACTTATTGGACCAAAAGACAGTACACAGAATCTCGTGGATTACAATTTGCAACTAGACGGATGTACGGTTACTTCCTCTACAGTCAAAAATCTGGGTGTTATATTAGATAGCAACTTGTCTTTTGAAAATCATATTTCCCATGTTACAAAAACAGCATTCTTCCATCTTAGAAACATTGCCAAACTACGAAATATGTTACCTGTTTCTGATGCAGAAAAGCTAGTTCATGCATTCATGACCTCTAGACTGGACTATTGTAATGCACTGCTAGGTGGTTGTCCTGCATCTTCAATAAACAAGCTACAGGTAGTCCAAAATGCAGCGGCTAGAGTCCTTACCAGGTCAAGAAAATATGATCATATTACCCCAATTTTACAGTCTCTGCACTGGCTACCTATTAAGTTCCGTATCAGTTACAAAATATTATTACTTGCCTATAAGGCCCTTAATGGGCTAGCTCCTGCGTACCTAACTAGTCTTCTACCACGCTACAATCCATCACGCTCCCTAAGGTCGCAAAACTCTGGACTTTTGGTAGTACCTAGGATAGCAAAGTCCACTAAAGGAGGTAGAGCTTTTTCGCATTTGGCTCCCAAACTCTGGAATAGCCTTCCTGATAACGTTCGGGGTTCAGACACACTCTCTCTGTTAAATAAACTTGAATTTAATTGAATTGCTCAATAGCTAATTAAATGGCGAATTCGGCAGGCAAAACACCATCATCACTAGGAATCGGGAATTTAGAGAAGTGGAATTTGTTTCCCCAATGGTCTCACCTCCGTTCGTTAACTTGAACACGTTAACTTGAACTCGTTAACTCGTCAAGTTCGTTAACTTGAACACGTGAATTCACCGCATTGCTGCCTGATTCGGAAGTGACTGAGTCAGCATTACTTCACGCATCTCTACATTATTGTCATGGACTCCACGAGTTATGTGACTGCCACAAGAACAAGTTCAGATGGGAACTTCATCCCCAAGAAG